GTAGGATTCCTTACATTTCCCTTTTCACGCCGGAATGAAACCGGGAGGAACCTTCTAAATGATTATTTATTCCCACTTCCTAATGAACTAGTGAAAGTTTCATTATGTACTTGATGGTAAATTTCATACGTGATTACTATGATTACGGTCGTATTGATGCATCCCTTGTATCATTTTGTTAGTTATTTCATGCCTTATTCTTCTTTTTATTCCAGACATCGTGTTATTCCAGGTATCGAACTTTTATTACCATAATTTTTATTGTGATGGATACTTCGAAGAACTGCCCCCTTTCTTTAGCTAATACTATTAGTTCAGCAGGAAGTGTAAAAAAGGGAAAAACACGCAGAGGACTACGATCCTCTCTCTCAAACAAGGATATGCTTTTTTGTAATGACGGCAGCAGCCATCCACCGAGCTCGCATGAACCTACGACTACTTCACCTGGGCTGACTACGTGCCAGATGGAGAAGCTGCCGGGTAAGCCAAGTCTCGAAAGCAGGCAAGATGCTGCTGAAACGGATCCACCTAAATATCCTTCATCTACAGGATCATCAGCACCGCCTACCTCCGAAGAGGTTCAGGAGGATGCGTCTAAGGCCACCAAAATTCGCAAGCCCCCACAAGGTAGCAAGAAGATGTGCACTTCCGAAGACGTGCAGGAGGATGCGTCTGAGGCCACCAAACGTCGCAAGCCCCCACAAGGTAGCAAGAGGATGTGCACTTCCGAAGAGGTGCAGGAGGATGCATCTGAGGCCAACAAACGTCGAAAAAAGAAGATGTGCACCTACGAAGAGGTTAAGGAGGATTCGTCTAAGGCCTCTAAACGTAGCAAGCCCCCCAAGTGTCTCAAGCCCCCCCAACGTCGCAAGCTTGGGAAGTACACAGACGAAAGTAAGTATGATCGTTGTGAATTCAATAATCTTCCATTCTATTTCAATTTTCTATTTTACTTGAACTTCTTTTTTTATCTTTCACCGCAGGTACTGTTTGTAGTGGTAGTCTCAGTCACAGTTCTGTTCTGCTCGCTTTGATCAGTTCCGTCTTGTTCCAAATTTTTGCCCAGGCAAACTTCCGGGGCTCATAGTGAGCCGACCGGGTAGAACTTTAATGTCTAATACATCCCAGTTCGAATGAACAGGGACGAGCCCGCTCTATTGTTTGCGCCCAATGTGGTCGATTTCCCCCCTTGCAATAGAACCTGGCACGGACTATAACAATAGAACGCGATGGCCTGAAAGTGTAAAACAATGTACATCTAATTTGAAATTTCTCCATAGTATGTTGTTGACCAACTTAATAGGTAAGATTTTTCATTTCTATATTATTTTATAAACTTCTTATAGAAATATGTGTGGTTTTTTTCTTGCAACAGGGAGGTTTTCCGATCGCCACTCAGAGCCGGATGGACTCTCGACGATGAGAGATGATTTAGCACCGCTAAACCTGCACTCTGTCCAGAAGCAGGTGGACAGCAATGCACCAAAAGATAGGGCGGTGACGCAGCACCTAGCAGAGGAGAGCAGTCGCCCAGAGGAGAAAGGTAGGAAAAATTTATTCATTGTTTTAAATAATTTTACTAGTATCAGAAATTTAAATTGAATGTTGTTGTCCAATTTATTAGTCGAAGTCTTATCATGCAGCTATTATTTTCATGCCTTCTTTATAGTACAAAGATTTCCTCAGCGACAACGCTCCCTGGAACAATGGCTACCGCATCATTTTCGGTAAGCCCTACTAACACGAGGCACCTTTTCTCTCAGTTATTCTTATTTCCATTTCCGGAAAATGAATGATTCCCGCCACAGCATAAGCGCCCTAAGCGGCCCACAGCACCAAAGATCAAATAGAGCTTTAAAATGTTAAAAGCAAACAGCCTAAAACTCCGAGCTCTAATTAGATTGTTTTCGTTCCTCAAACGAAAATGTTTCTTTTCTCACAACAGAGTTGTATCAAGAACCTGGGGATCAACAACTGTTGCAGGGGAGAAATTTCAACCCGGGAGAAATTTCAAAATTACCTTCAGAAATGGATTTTCTTCAGAGTGTATCTTCGGCGACAGGCTATGAAAATACTGAGAATAGAGCTAGAATGGAGGCTCCCCCGCAAGAACTTCCCCCGCTCAAGAAGGCTCCCCCGCAAGAACTTTATACTCCAATTGTACATCTAAACGAATTCTGCGATATTTCTTCTAAAAAAGGCCTACATTGGCCTCAAAAAGTTCTATGAGGCTATTTTTCATGCCAGCGCACCTTCAACCCCGGATGAAACCATAGAGGAGGCGTATATTGCAGTTTCTTCAAACCCGTATGAAGATGAGGAGAAGGCCCCCCCCCCGCAAGAACTTTGTACTCCCCCGAGAGATATTTCAAAATTACCTTCAGATATGGCTGTGTTATATGAGAATCGTGCTAAGCAGCAGGTTCCTGCTAACGAAGAAGGCATTGATGGTGCAGCAAGAGGATGCTCCAGTGACTAGGAAAGTTTGGCAGCTCCGCTGTCGCCTGCACGAGGCAAAGACCATTGTGAGCAGCAGCAGCACCAGCAGCAGCCGGACGATGACGCACCTCGCCAGGGAAGCAGCCATAAGAATTTGCCACTTCAAAAGGCCGGTTCGTGACTTATGAAAAATCTTCTGTTTTGATTGACTTGTCTTTTACTCGTTTATATATATATTTTTAAACTTACTAATTTTTCAACCTACAGCTATGACAGCCGCGCTGCCGCCTGTATTTTGATTATAATAATGCTAAAATTTACTTATTTTTCTACCTACAGCTATGGCAGCCCCGCTGTCGCCTGCACGAGGCAAAGACCATTGTGAGCAGCAGCATAAAACCTACCTGCTGCTAAAATTTACTTATTTTTCTACCTACAGCTATGGCAGCCCCGCTGTCGCCGGCACGAGGCAAAGCCCATTGTGAGCAGCAGCCGCAGCCGCCGGACGATGACGCACCTCGCCAGGGAAGCAGCCATAAGAAATTGCCACTTCGAAAGGCCGGTTCGTGAAACGAACAATTCTTTTCTAATCTCTTAATCTGTTTGTTCATGTAACCACTATGCCACCTACGATGAATGCATCTAATAGTTTCAATTTCGTACGTTTCAGATCCTTTATCGATTTCCGGAAGAACAAACTGATCACTCAGATGGCGGCTGATAGCAGAGTACCTTGAGAAAACAGCGCAGCTGAGCACGGAGTACCAGACCTGGAAGATGCTGGGCAAACAGCGCAAGGAAGACAACGAAGCGGCCGCATTCTTAAGTGCTAGTTGTAAGGCAACGGAGAAACTGCCTTCATGTGCGCTGTGTCGCACGATTCTCTTGGAGAGACGGAGAAAACTCTCAGGTGTTCATCTCCTATTTCATAGTTGTTTGTTTAATAGCAAATTTTTCGGCTTTTACCTGCTGTTGACTCCATTTTATGTCTGTCATTTGTCATTCAAATCCCTCGCAAACTATCCCTAAATTTTTTAACCCATGCAAATGCAATTTATTTTGTGTGTGACAGGTCCGCGTCACGCGCCATGACTATCAACAGCCAAGTGAAGAGAGCGCGAAGTAAGGAGGGGCAGCTCAAGGAGCTGTGCGAACATAATTCGCAGAAAATGTGCCTCCATAATTTGCGACCATAATTCGCAGGAGGCACACCTCAACTTTTCAAGAAGAGACCACGCCTCACCGCAAGCATGCCCCGCCGTGTTCGAGCCATCCTCCACGATCGCGCAAAAGGGACTGCTCCTGTCCAGAAATTCGCCAAGGTGAGGGTCATTCCACGCTGGCGCCTCGCCTCGCCTCGCCTCGCCTCGCCTCCACCCTGGCGTCCGCTCCGGAGGAGCCCACTGTGGAGCAGGTTATGAGTGCGATATACCTCTACGTGCCTCTATCCGAAGCAAGCTACCAGCAGTACTATGAGCTGAATGATGATGGTTCACCGAGGTAGAGACCAAAACCGGTCAAGAATTGAGGAGAGACGGGATCGACATTGATACACTTGAGAGTGGACAAGTTGCCATGATTCTCCTGGCAGTAGGAGGGGTGTTGTGCATGCACAAGCCAATCACAGTGGAGAACAAGACGTACCTCATCAGGAGGGTCCAATCTATTGGCGGAGCATGAACAACTGTCTGCTCACCAACATAAAGGACACTGATGCCGGTTTGGTTCCTTTGCTCGGTGTCGCTGGCTGGGCAAATGTCCAGAACAACCTATGTGCAGCTCCGGACTCAACCTTGCTTGCCGAAGACGCTCTGGTCTGTGCAATGGAGGTTAACCCTGCTTACCTGGTTCAGGAAGAACCTGACCCAAATGCTGGCCCTGCGCCTGTCAATTCTCCCAATCCCGGCCCGAACCCGCCCAATCCTCCCCAGCCTGCTCAGCCTCCAGCCCCTTTTCCTCCAATGATCGACTCGACGCTACGCCCTTGCATAAGCAGATGCAAGCTTGCTTTAAGCTGGTTCTGGAGGGATACGGGATGACCAGCGTTTATGCAGATGATTGACTTTTGTGGAATGGCGACAGAGGCCATGCTGCTAGAGCCTGTTCTGCAGGAGGCAGAGGAGTTCAAGGACCGCCTTGCTCTGTTCAAAGCTGCTCACCCAACTGACTGGCGCACTGCTCGCGTATTGGAATTTGCCGATCTATCTCCGTTGAATGCAAGGCACTTCCCCCATTTGGTCACTTGTGCGATTGGAGGCATGCAGAGTCTGCCTGCACAGCTGTGGTGCTGAAGGTTAGCATGGATCATGAGCATTACGCCCGTAAGCGACCAGTGATGAAATGCAAAAAGCAAAATCTTGCGCGCCCGACATGAGTGTTATGCGGACGATGACCTTTCTAGCCCTTCCCGCGATGATCGCAAATTTAAGGAAATGATGTTAAAGCCGACGTACAAGAACGACTACGATAACCTGACGATGCGTTCGCCATTCTAGTGTCTGACCCGCGATTCCCGATTAATAAAGTCGCAGACTTTTAAAGAACGGTCAATACGAGAATAGGCAGTCAAGAATGTCACACTGCCCCGAAGTTATTAATAAGTAATTTCGGCGATATTGGGGCTCGCAAGGACTCGTCCGAACGCGTTCACGTCTTCTCTATGATCAGTCGCTCCAACTTGAACCAGAAAGCCGCTGCGTCTATCCCAAGGATGGAGCTTTGTGCAGCACTTGAGCGACCAATTTGACCCAGGAAGTCGTTAAGTAAATAAACTTTTCCATTAGTCGCGTACATACAGTATGTACTCATATAGCCAGGTGGTTCTAGGTTATCTCCAAAACACTCTGAAACTATTCTATAAAATACGTCACACGCCGAGTAGAATCCATTTTAAAGCCTATAACCGCTGCACAATTTAATCGCATACTTATAGAACTTGATCCAGCAGGTATGGCTTCCCAACCCTCAAACCGGATCGTCCCTCTCTGTAGAAGTTGCCGGATTTCTTGTGGTCTCTACACTAACCAGCGACCTTCGATGATCCCGATACACCAACCGACGAATTACCGTAAGGAATGCCTGCAATTAAGGTGCTGCTCACTAACTCCGGAGAGCAAATTTCAAAGCCCGATATAGGCAAACTTGAACAGTTGCAGTAGAGCGGTGAGTATCGTTCAGAAAATGCTTTATTTCAGTTGGCCCCTGCTAGATAGCTCGCAACAAACAAAGGCTTGGAGTGCCGCTCGCACCAAGAGGCCATTTTTCCGAAGAAACGGGCAGAACTAATCTCGACCACTGAAGCAAGAAGCGCGAGTTTTCCAGAAGTTGTCTAAATTTTAAAATCTTCAACGGCATCAACGGTAATTTTAAATCATCATGAGCTTCGATCCTTTCCTCGACGTCGAGAACATCTTGATCAAATATCTATAATGATCATTAGACATCCACACAATTTAGTTCAGCACCAAAGAAAACACTTTACGTTCAAGTATGAACGAATTAGCGGGAATATTCTCAAGCCAGATATCACCGTTTGCGTACAGTGCTCTTAATATGATAATGGTGACTAACAACTCGGTTCTAACAATCCAAATCATGCAGAATACCTATCTGTTAAGTCGCTCAACGTTAACACTGCGATAAGGTGACTGAAATTTTCAGTTCTGTAGCAATGGTGTCGCTGTCATTGCTATTTAATAATTACTAATAAAGCTAGTTTAATTCTATAAAAAAAATACGAGTCTTCACTTGTCAGTTCAGATGTCATACCAAGACGGTACTGGACCGGCGTCTTGCACTACAAGATGAAGTATACGAGTGAGGCTGTATTTTTATTCTGAAGACTACGACTTTTTATTCGTTTCACGAGATCATTAACAACCGACGACCAGCGTCTAGCGCTACATACCTAGGTATATTAACCCCTCACCCGAAATCCTACCGACGAACGACGTGCAGAAGCATTTATACTTAGCAAATGACTGTTGAGCTACGATTATGAAGGTCGCAGCACATCAAGAAACCTGTCACAGATGATCATGAATGGTATAGATGACTAAGCAGTTGCGACATCGTCCAAACATACCTAATCAAGAGAAACTTTTACTAGCAAGTGGCACCCTAACGAGAGTTGAGATTTCGTCACAATGCTGTCCGCTGGAACCTAAAGAGGAGAATCGTGCTCAAGAAACTAACAGTTTTACAGGCGCTGTAACTTCGGCCGTCCAAATCTATTGCAATCGAGCTGTGTTACATTCATCCTACAAATTTTCTATACTAATGCCTAGCACGTTCCTGCCGGGGGACCTGCCCGAGACATTTCGGTACAAACGCTAATAATGTTTTGCTCCACGAATAGCTAGTAGAATCGTATAGCTAGGCAGCTAGATACTGCAATTGCATGTCGATGAGTTAAAGCAATATTGACAGTCTAACTAAGTTCACTTCGGGCCAAATGATTAAAGGCCTAACGTCAATTCATATTAGCTAGCGTTCACCTCCAAGACCTTGAACTTAGAAGAGAAGAGACGTGCAAAACCGATCAGAGCTCAGGAGACACTGCGAGTGCGGACTTCGAACTTTCGAAGTTCCTAACCAGTGTTGCCAACTTTTTGCCAGATTACCTAGCTCAAAATACCAGAAATATACCAAAAATTAAATTGAAAAAGACTAATACCTTCACATTTTGATTAAATTATTCGCCAGAAACGTTAGTTAAAAAAAGATGAGTAATTTTCTATCATTTTTACTGTGCATTTATTTATCTTGCTTGACGAATAATTAACCAAATTAAACACGCTATATTGTTCCCCTGTGTTTGAAACATTCGGACAATTTTCCTTTCCTGTGTTTGATTACATTGACCCTTTCTTAACACAGTTATCCACAGAAACAGGTCATATTCCTCTTCTATATTTTATTATATGCTTGTATTGCATTTATCTAACATTTCGAGTGTGATCACAAAATTGCGGAAACACTTGTTGCGGCTGAGCAGATAGCTTATGGTGTTGACTTGACAAGTTAGACGCTCGCGGCCTTTCTCAGAGGCCTGTTCGTCTCTCCAAGACTACTAACTTTTGTACTATTAGCACAATGCGGGGGAGGCTGGGTTGCAAAAAAAATGTTGGTGTCTAGTTCTGGCATGATGGAGCATAGAGAGTAGGCAGATGAAGCCAATGTTTATCGAGGCGACTCTTAAGAGTATCCACAGATGGTTCTCTGACATTCTCTGGCAAGCTGTTCCAGTTTGTGATAATACGTTGAGAGAAAAAATTACCTCTAATGTTCAGTCTAAAGTGGCTCTTTTGGAGTTTGAGAGAATTTCCTCGGAGGTCTCTTGCTGTAGCTATTGCAAAACTCGGGCGTGAGACGTCATAGTAGCCATGCAGGTCTTGAGCCTATCTGAGTAGGGTTTGTCTTTTAATGATGCCAAAAGTTTTGTTGCTCGCCTCTGCACGTCTTCTATATCACTACAGAGTCTCGTGTGTTGGTTGCCACACGCAGTGCTCGTACTCAAGAAGTGGGCGTACCAAGCTCTTAAACAGTTGAACGAATGTCTTTTCGGTTAGGTGATCAAAAGTTCTGCGAATGATACCGACGACTTTGTTTGCTTCTGCTGTGCACTGAGTGACATGCTCCTTGAAGTAGTGCTTATTGTCTATAATCACTCCCAGATTACGGTATATTATCAGATTCGATGATCCGGATAACAGACTCCAGTACCCTAGTTGAAATTCTTTTTCGTATTTATTTAACCGTTTTTTTAATTTATACTTTCTTTAATATCATTAAATCATTACATGTTCAGTTTTCCAAGTATTACATTTTGATGTGATGACATTTTTCCTCACTCAAAAATTGCTGCCTTCAAGCTGCACACAACTTTTACCTTTGCTATCTTCCGGGGAACTGAACTACTGTAGATAAACAAGTTTGAGTGAACCTGTCGCCCGTATGGCAAACGGACTGACTTGGCAATCGCCGCCAACGTGTTTATCGATTGCTAATCTATTGCTTCCAATGAGCGATGAGGTGTGATAATATGAGGCGCTGGTATAACTATATTGCCAAGGCAAAGGAAGAGGAAATATTACCATAATGAACATTTGACAGTTATACGTTTTTAGGCCTTTCTTTGAAAAGACTGGTAGTTGAGTTTGAACTCTTATTGTTATATATGTTCAATACGTACTGATTTAAAGATATTGTTAGGACGGAAGTCGGCAGATTTCACCTCCGGTGACTCATGATTTCAGTTAATAACCGTGCTTATCACACGTTTGCGGGCAATTTGACTATACTCGGGTCGCCTGCCGAAGACCACTACTGCCCTGGATGTAATGGACCATCATGATTCCTGCCTTCCGGAACGCAGCCTTCAACACTTCAAGCAGTACGTATCTAGGCCGTAGGTCGAACCAGCCCTCGGTCGAACGGCCACTTGTCGAAGGACGATAAATTTTGGAACAGAACTATGCTATCTGAAAATACGTCAGGTTAATTTCCTGTGGGCTGATTGATATTATTCAATGGATGTGATCTGTCTGGTGGCTTGCGGCTGATAATGTTAGTCGAGAAGTGTTATAGGCTATGTTTATTGAGGGAAGGTATCATGATAGTCCATTCGAAGCACGGCAGGCGTCCCATTCTCAAAACATCCCTACGCTACTTAGCTGCAGTGATTCTATTCGCAAGACTGCAGCCTAAAAAAACTTATTCCCGGCCGATTTTTGTCAGAGAAAGCTTGGTTTTAGTCAGGCAGAATCATAACAGAGAATTTAAGTTAAAATCCTAACTTCATCAACTTCAAATAGAGTCAAATTTGAGATAATTGCTCGTCAAGTCTAGCTAAATCGGGGCTATAGTGATAATTACCAGAGGCAAAATGATTTCCGTTTACTTAAATGTTAGCGTATAGCATAACACCAAAAGAATAACACAGGTTTGCAAACATAAGCTGATTAGAGTCGTTAAATGTTTACCAAAAAAAACATTCTATACATTCTTAGGCCGCACTCAACGCGCGCTGATGCGCCCGTAACTCCCTACTTATTCGTGCACTGGGGCTGATGTGCCGATTTTGCAGGGTTACCTCAGATGTGCATTCAACCCTTCAAATGACATTAATTCAAAGCATGTTTCGGTTATAATAATAAAGAGTTTCATTGCATTTTGTTGCCTCTAAAATTCTACGCGTATAGATATTTTCAACCATAGCGTCAAATACTTCGCAATGTTTTGCTTCTGATCACAAGACAAGATTCTAATCAACAAATGAAACTTTAATGCTAATATAGCAATAACATTGAATATGCAATCTCGTTTCAGGTAAATCGACGATGGGTTGTCTAAAATTGAAAAAACACCAAATGAGCAGAGGCCCTTATTATACCCTAGCGAAAAAGATATAAGTGAATCAATGCCGGTTAACACTTAACAAGCATTAAAGTCGAAGATGGGGATAACGCCCTTGCCCCGACATCGACGCAGCGCTAGCAGTCTAATGTTACGGAGACAATCAGCTGCCGCCTCTTGAACGACGTCGTCGTCAGAACTCAACATCTCCAGCAGAAGCTCCATTGGGACAGAGAGAGTGAGAAAAAGGGAAAATGCTCAAAATGAGTGAGAAAAGGGAGGGTGATAAGAATGTAATTTTATCACGAACGGAGAAGTACATTATGGTTCGTATAACTGCAGTGAATCCAAGTTATTAAAACATATCCACATTATTGAATGATTCTCAATTTTGCATGTTAGGCCGAAACAATTTATCGATTAATACATTAATTTTTACTGATTTAAGAAACTTACTGGTACTGCACCGCTCTGATGAAGTGTCACGCAGTTTTCGGGCTCAAGAGAGAGACGATGGAGAGCCCGGCAAGTAGGCCGTCTCACTTGGCTTTCGCTCGTCTCCAAGTACCTGAAAGCATGAGGTGGCCAAAGTATGATTCATCTTACCATATTAAATCCTTAATGGAACGATGTTTGAGCAGCAAGTAATTGCTTTTAACTACTGGGCGATTGTCATAGCATTGCATGATATAGCAACATCGGCATTGATTAATAAGCTGAGTTGGGCCTGCTGCCGATACAATGTTCATGTGTTATCTCTTTGGAGATCTGAGAACTAGCTTTTTGACCAGTTATATCTAAAAATGACATTGTAGCTGGGTAGCTACTGGACATCCAACAATTTTTTGAGGAGGTGGGCACTTCAAGTCAAAACATATACGGTATACCTCAGCATTTCTTCATCTTAGTCTGTTTTTGATCACGTGCATATTCGGAACATCAACAATGCCATCAGGGAGTCTGTACCTGAGTGTACCATACTTCGTGACGAAGCGAGAATTATCGTCACATATATGAGCTGCACCACAGTTATTTTTGTTTCTAACTGTGGTCTTTGGTACTGGTACTTATTTCAGATTCTAGTAATTCTTCTGGAATCTCGTATAATTCATGAGTATACATGAAGTCTTCGATGTGGTCGCCAAGCAGACACCGATAATGACTTGAAAGCTTCATAATCGTTAATTTTTTCAAGAGACATGCTCTTTAAGCTTCGAATTATCCTTTTTTGCACCACACGGCGTTTCCGCATTCAAAGTGCAGCGCACGAGAGAGACACATAATACAAAACGTCATCGTTTCTGCATCAAGGTTCTCGCAGGAGCGTCTGATCATCCCCAGCACTTTTTTTGGCTTTAGTAACTTGCGCTTCATTATGTTTAGAAAATTCAAGAAGTCCTTGTCGCCATAAACTCGGCAAATCTTCTCTACTCTTCAACTAATGAAATAGAAAAATAACTAATGGTGCACTATACATCAAAACCTATTCATAAATATGAAATCTATATATTCACACAATTTGTCCACATTCAAATTTATTCACATGGATTTGGGTGGGGGTCGTGGACGTAGAAGCTGTAGAGAGTATGGAAGGACAAGTCCTTTAGGGACACCAGTGGGGAGTTGATGAGAAGGACCCATGTGATTGCCTTCTGAAGATGTTCCTCTGTCTGTGCAGTAGACTTGAAGTGTTTTTGTAAACGACGGGCGGAGATTAAGTTGAATGGATTGGTGTTGTAGTCCAATGAGCCATACCTTATCTAAGGATATGGTCACATTACAGCATACTATGTCTTTATGCTCAGCATATGGAGAGTGTTTCTTGGAATGTGGCTAATTCTGTGTGTGTCCCTCTGTTTCTCCTGAAACCTTAAATTGTTGTCTTGTAAATTGCGTGCTGCGAATGTTGAAGTGTTCGTATGTTCCGTTGTTTAGTATTCTGTCTAAAAGTTTTCCGTGTATATCTGTCAAGAAAACAGGTTCTATGCAGTTATCTGGGGTGAGATGCAGGATGGAAACGCAAAATTTATACTTTACAGAACAATTCAAACAGAGATAACAAACTCTAAAATGAAAATGATTAAGACAGGGAACAAAACTAAGATGATAACTTGCGGAATGGAGATGCAACCGTATAGGGCTGACCTGTTGAAGAATGCCAAATAAATATGAATTGTCAAGCATAGCCAAATATGTTTATTTCAATTAGAAAAGCAAACAATTTAGGTATAACAAACAAAGAATCCTCACTATCTTTCCCTAATTATACCAATGTTTCACGTAGTTCACTTGTTGAGCGCGGGAAAACATCATCTGATTCCCTTTCCGCAATGCTAACAGACGTTAACTACTGTAGGGAAAGAATAGTTGGGCGGAAATATGCCTTTACAATGTCTAACAGTGAAATCGGTTCTTAGTTATGGACTTATTGTTGTGTGCGTTTGGTTTAGGGAGTAAGATAATGATGACGTGTTTTAATGAGTTGAGGACATAGCCAGTGGATATGGAGTGATTGACTATACAAATGTATGTACTCGTATAATAACACGTAATGGATCAAGTGTTTGAGTAGGAGGGCAGCGATGTCTATGAGACCAGGTGTTTTCTGTTTGAACGTTTTAGTGTGCCCTGTAATGTTTTGATGTAGAGTCTACCGGATGGAGTCGGGTAAGGTCGTCGTAATTGTACGAGTGAATGAAGTGTCTGTAATTGTTTACATGATGTTGTATGATGCAGATATGATCAGGGTCAAAATCTTCATTGTCAGTGTGTTTCTGGGTGAATGTCTTACCAGCGCTTGCGGAATTGGTTTCTTTTTGTTCATGTGTGTTGTGCTAGATATTGTTTCTGATGCATGGGACGATTTGTGTTGTGTTGGATCCTAGCATACATTTTAGGGAAAACAGGATTTTTTGGGGGATTCTTTATATTTATTAAGTACTAATGAGGTTCCGCCCTGCATGTGTTTGGTGGTGTCTGCCTGCCCTGTGTAGTTGTAAGCGTAGGGTGATGAGCTGATGATGTGGCGTAGAATGATGAGAAGGTGACGTGATGAATGAGATGAAAGTCGAGGTCGTGATGATGATGATGATGGGGGTTGCTTCGTCTTGCCTCCCGGGATGGGTTCGAAACAGGGACGCCCTCTGCCGGAGGAGGCATGAGGATGAGGGAAGGGGGAGGGAGCGAAAACACAGGTAAATGATGCAGTACAGTTATATATACAGAAATTGGTAGCAACTGAGGTATGAAAATGGATAAGTCACACGTTTTTAGAGACACCTACTTACTTCTGAGAGGCTGCTAAATAATGCTCTTAGAGAGTCCAGGCACCAAGAAATGGAATCACTATTAGCTTCGGGGGAAGGGGAGCACTGTGCGATCAGGCTTATTTCTGGCACAATGTTTTAGCAGTGAATGTAACATGTTAACCTCGGCTGCAATCACTGACGCTCGCTAATTAAGAGACAGGATCGATTGTGATAGGGTAGCATTCTTCCCCGACAAGTGCGATGTAGACTGCAAGCAGTTGCTTCTCCGTATCTATGCTGCTCAACAATAAATTAAGAAGCATAGTTTAATTATTCTTATAAACGGGAGCACTAATGATCCACTATCAAACTCCAGGTTAAAACAAACAGATTTTTTGCAATTGCGATCTAGCGAGCGATCTAGCGAATTGAAACCAGTTTAAATTGAGACTATATCTCTAAGATCAATATTAGGTACTTTTTGAGTGTAGGCCGAAAAGCAATAATTCTACGTTAGTATGAATTTTATCGATAACCGCAAACATGGATCTCAGGTAGATATGTTATACTTGGTGGATAGAGTTTAAAAATAGTCCATGGTTATACAGTTCGGTTCCTTGTATCTTAATTAGTATTAGAACAATAGGCGCCTCTTTTGGTACTCACTGTACTAGTGGAGCGACTGCGCCAGCCCGACCAAACAAGAGTCCAGTGTCACGGGAGATGCAGCAAGCAGCGATGGCTTCGGCCAAGAAGGGCCGGAGGGTGCTATTTTCCTGTCAACGAAAAAATTCTTCACAACGCCACTCATCGGCTGTTGTCAGTATTTTTGTGTGCTAGTGTAAAGTTAACAAGTTTAACAAACATTGTTATGATACTGCAAAATGACCCTCTATCTACTTTATTGTAGCTATAAGAGCAACAAATACTTGGACAAGAGTGCTTCTTTATTTTTAATCAAAATAATGATTAATTCCAAACAGCACTGAAAGCAGTCTGATACATATAGGTTAAGCTGGCAAAAAAAAAAACATTTATATTTCATTACGGATCAATGTTTGCCCGTTTTATTTCATCTAAGAAAGAGAGTACATGTATCGCTATGCCCGCAATTGAACATATTTAACCACGACTTCACATCCAACCACAAATTATTATCATTCGTTATTGCTATATCTGAATTCTTGTACAAAAAATAGAACATAACTGATGTATTAGATCAGGTATATGATCATAATTTGTCGATAATTATATAATTGTAAACGATTCGAGGAATTCCCATGCACCCCGCCTCAATGTTATAGGCTCCTGCACAGATCCCCGAAGAAAATCGATGTTAATAAAGAATGCACAAATTTATTTAAATAGTTAATGGCAATAAGAATTTTAGAAGAAAAAAACGATGATCTAAATAAAATGAGTGAATACGAGAAAAATTTCCCGAAAATGGTAGAGTTAAGATAGTTTTCGATCCAGTTACGTTTCTTTAAACCATTTGTCATAAAATATCAATTCCACGATTGGAAAGTAATTTAAGATCTGCCGGAAATGCAACGTAAGATCTGCAATAATTCCGGTTCAATGTTGAAAGAACTGGTAGAAAGCTCTCTCTTCTGCTGTTGAACTCCACAGAGGTCGGACCTAGAATTGAGGCTGTCTAGCGCACATTATAATCGAAATTCAGACCCACAAATCTGAAAAATTAAAATGTCCCAAAACAATGTGATTAAGGTAGAATCGGAAATTATTTTTGAATGTTTTTTATTCTTGAAATGTTTTTAATCCATCAGAATGTTTTTTAATTCTTGAAAAAAACATTGGACTTTATTTTTTTAACAGCTGGAATGAATATAAATGAACTCGTTCCGCTACGAATTTAGTTCAGTCAAAAGATCGGCAAATAATATGATAAACAATATTATTATACTACCACCAGTTTGTGCATGACTACATAAAACACACTTGAAAGCATGGTTGGTTGCGTCGCAATTAGCAAGAATTCGCTCTAGCTCTTGTACAAACACCGCGTCAACTCTTTCACAGTGAGCCTTTCAAGCAACTAATATCTAAAATATTACAGTGAAAATTAAAACATGTGATCAAAGGGATTAGCCAGAGATGCGTCTATGCGGTGTAACAGACATTTTATAATACAATGCAGGAAGCATTTATTCCAATTCTACGCTCATTGAAGTTTAGCAAGCGGGTAAAATTGCAAGCGTAATCAATTAGCTTGTGCCCAATTTAATTGTCCTCCCAGCAATTATTCTATCCAAAGAATAAACTTTAATGCGCAAGAAAAATCAGAATTTAAAATATCCCGATAAAAGAGTTAAAATAGGCTGAATCAAAAACAAGCCAATATATAGAGTGGAAACATAGCCTGCGCATAAAATAAGGAGGAACCACCAAGCGACGCCTCTGAGAGACGAGGTCATAATGCGGAACTCTTCTTACCAGTGACAAAGTTCATGGTATAGCTACAAAAAAAACTGGCTTCAGAATCCAATAAGACAATAGACAGCTGCCTTTGAGATTCCACAAATGCTAGATTGTCATTAGCAGTAAAAAACGTACTGCGTGAATGAAAGTTAAGGAGGCAAAAAAGTATTCAGCGATTCTGCAAGTAATAATCAAATGACCGCAAAAATATAAGTAGAGAAATAAGGTTTGGACTAGAGTAGAAAACCTGATGTTTGTTTGCTGGTGACTCGACTTTGTAGCTCGGCTGTGGCTTCTCTGCTCGCTGCTGCATCAGCTGCGCTAGCCAGGCATATCGTCAGTGAAATGACAGACAGTGTAGTGTCCATGCACCATATTGCACGCTTCACATTACGACAGGGAATATTGATAGTATTCTAGCCGCTGAACTATTCATTATCCTTCGGTCACAAAGAGGGAAAATATAATGACTTGAAGAAAACTTATTCTGCACGGCTTGTAATTATATCTGATTTTATCTCGATATTATAATTAGAGTCTCTATTTTTTTATTTAACTTTAGACCTGTTTATCAAGACCTCATAAAAATCATTACAGTCGAAAACCAAATGACATACTGAGTTTGCACCAATGCCCTCGAATGTTCAGTTGCTCGAATGTCCTTTATAAAGTTGACTTGTTGGCCTTTGATGTGTCGCGGGTGAACGACAAAATGGAAATTTGGGGAAGTGAGAAATAATCGAGTCCAAAATTTTGAAAATTTAGTTTTTATCCATTTAAAAGGCACCGAAGTGACTCAATAATTCATCTGGCTCTGTTTGAAGCGATCTCCCTAATGATTCGAATTTAGGGCCACGGTTTAGAAGAGTTGGGTTTCATGCTTAACCACATATTGCTCCGAATTCACTACCAAAGCTTCGAAAGGACGTCCTGTACAGACTCCCATCCTATTTATTTCAGGTAGATGGTGTTAAAATTAAGGTGATAAGCTGCGTCCACAAAGTTGTAAATATTACTTTAAATGAAAATTGACCTTACGTCCCCCAGTTTCTGCATGACTGAGACTGACTTGATTGCATGGTTGCTTCTGGATTAGTAAGAGTTCGCTCAAATTCTTGAAAAATAAATTAACATCTGATATTTATTTCTGTGTTGCTATGGAAACTTTTGTTAGAAAAATTATTGTCCATTTCTCTAAATTAACTTCGATAGAATTGTGAAAATACCGCAGAAATTAGTTTCGTACTTTGTTGGGGTCTTTTAAGCCATTGAACTAATCATTGTTGAATTTTTTTTTCTTTTTTTCCAGTAACTAAACTATTTTAACTAAACAAAAACTAGCTAGAAATTACAATTACTAAATCTTACTGTTGTTTTTAAGCTTTCGTGTATCGCAAAGCGACATAATTTACAGGCTTGGGCAAAATTTCCTTAGCATTTGTTCATTTCATTTTGGATTGAACGCTCTCCAAACTTCTATACGCCGCGGCTATAGAATTCGATTCACATTCAATATGCACTGTAAATTTGAATTAATCCGATATATTTTTATTCGGAGTGGGTCTCTTGGGATTTTAGGGTCAACTAAAATAAAAATTAAAAACACTTGTCTAAACGACATTCTAGAACTGTTACTGAGGTTAATAGTAGAAAAACTTTTTATCGTATTTTGCGCTACTTCGAATGCTCGTCTGGAACATTGCCCTGTGAATTGAAAATCTTATTCGTGAAATATTTGTAGAATTATAACTGGCATTAGTGGCATGTGATACTGGTGAATAATGTCATCAATAAAGGTTCCTTTTTCAGGTATATGGATGTTTTTCCTGGCCTGATGCGTTCTTTCCTGGTTAATGAATACAGTTATGCGCGTTAACAGAAGTCGGAATGACGTCGCGGAACTTCTACATCCGTACTTCCGGATGTAGAAACCAGGGCGGGAGATATCGTTCTGGGCCTATACTTTCAAAAAAGTTAAGAGATCGTATGTTCATGAACCAATAATTATTGACGGCCTTTTAAGTAAAATCCACCAAACATGGACAAGAAAAAAGAGCGTAAGTACTTATACGTTCACTTGGTGATTTTTGAAAGTATGGCCCCTAGCTGAACGGATTCCTGCTCAACCGCTCCATTTTGCTGTGCGCCTTTGCGCTGAACAATGTGACGTGACTACGCCAGAGAACGATTACAAATTCCTCAGTTCCATCACTGGTGCTTGTCATTCTAGAAGTCTGACAACTCTGCATATTTTTTGACGGAAAAATTGTTGTATTAACGTTTATAGTTTATATTCACTTAAAATTGTTAATCGAATGGTTTTTATGTTCTTTGAACCGTTTTTCTTCAGTAAATAGTTTTCAATCCCTTTCGTGTGAATCTAACTTTTATTAAATGGAGGTATTATCTTCAGTTTTACCTTATGATGGAGCTGGTCTCCAGAACATTTTTAGTGGTGATATGACGAATTTACTTGACGTTTTCTTTTCTTTTAAATTCTTGATTTTCTTTCAATTCTATAAGGAAGATTTCTTTTCTGATTTGTACATGGTATGGATTAAATAAGAAAAAACTTGGGGGAGGGCTTTTTGCAAACCCAAACGACGGGAAGCCACTTCTACCGTTTTCTATGCAATTCACGTTTTCTTTCATTTTTTAAATTCATAGATGCAAAATTTTCTTCTTTTGCTCTTTTACAAATGTGTACGAAGTTTCACAAACTTCCGTCAGTAAATAGTAAAGTTTCTTTTTTACCTTGATTATTACAGTAAATTTATTTGTTTAAATAAGCCGCTTTCAGTAAAAAAAATTAGTCGGACTCCAAATTTTGGACCGTGTTGTTCATTTTCATAGGTCCTGTCCACAGCGGACAAAGAGGCAGAAATTTTTACGACACACAACTGCACAAGCCCTTCTCAACACGAAAAATTCACATAAAAATGCATTTCTGCAGAAAAAATGCAAGGTTGAAAAATTATTATTGCGTTGCTCTCACGTTGCGATGCAAGGAAATACTTTGTAGAAGAAAGGATAAATATTCTTATTATGAAATAATGACTGCTAACAACCAATTGGAATAGTCATCTTGTCCATAGAGAAATATGACTGGTAAATTTGTAGCTGTTCTTTTAACAGCGGTTATGTTACCCGCTTAAACGTCGCCGACGCATGAAAGTGGTGCCTTAACCTTAAGTGGCTATCTCCTTAAGTGAATTATTATCCAGTTTTTAATTGTAACTAAGTTTAATGACAACACATTTAGAGTTATTTATTTAGTTTATGGTCATGCAATGAAGCGATTACTCGTATGTAATTGGGGATTTAAGGATTACTA